TTAGCCTTTATCGTCGTTCGTACATGTGTTCACTCTGGTAAAGAAAATGGCTGGCCCAAACCCAAATATGAATGCAACGTATTTATTTAAGAGATTATATATGCAAAAGACTTTACTGTAAACGCGTGTTTTTTATTTTACACGGCCGGTGCAAGAATACATATAATTACAATGAAATATTTGGCAGTAAATATAAAGTTAAAGATATGTTGATAAGTCACAAACACCTAAATTCCATTTTAATAGCGGTAACAATTATTACGAATAAGTCAGTGCAGTTTTTGAAGGAAACTTTGTGAAGAATTATCAACCCTCGTTTGGTAGAGATGAGTCTGACAGATCCACGTCATCCACTACAAAAAAAACAATAGTAAATGGGCACATAATTTCAATTGAAGAATCCTTCTCGGGTATTTCTTAGCTACCAATATATAAACTTCTTATTTTCTTGAGCGTAATTAAATACCAACTTGATGAATTTGCTATTCCGCAATTATCACGTTATATCCAGGACAAAAGCTACATATTATCTTCATATTCACGATGGTTGAGGATCTATGGTGATTTCATTTGGGCCAATAACAAATAGCGCTCAGTTATATCTTTTAGTATAAATCAGAAACAATTATATCACTTAATCGCATGCACTGACATTTAATTTAAATAGCTAGAAAATATCCCACGCAGACGCAGGTTTCTACAAGTGAGCTTTTGGGGTTTTGAAGTTTTTGGGTTTGGGGAGTTTAAATCTTGAGGGTTGCCCTAGTCAGTATTATTTTGTGCTCTTGCACTTCGCACGAGAAACATGCATCAAATATTCAGCACTCCAATGCAACTTCAATCCAAATCAAACATACCACATAATGAATATTGTTTTGATGTATCAATACATTGATATTCAAAGTAAAGATATTTGTTCAATCCAGGACACAGATCATCAGAGAACAAGGTTTTATCCACAGTTATTTTACACTCATGTTGACCATCACATTGTTTCTTAACAAGACATGTTACATCAACTGTACAACTATAATCATCACTCAAACCACATGTCTTTGAGTCAGACAATCCACGGTAAGAAGCAGTCTTGACCACCATGAACTGATCTTTAGGACAGGCGACATTCTCAGTCGTTTTTCCATAACATGTCACTGAACCTTAGAAATAATAGTTCGAAATGCAAAGATTTTTTGAATTGAAAATATAATTTTATCTGAGCCCGAGACTGAGAGTAGCGAACAACAACAACAATCAATAATTGAAAGTAACTTGGAGATATTCCAGGATAGCAAAACTTTGAATGGTTATCATGATCAATTAAGTAGTGAAAACATGTCTGAATAAATTCATTTTTAAAACGAGTAACTTTTACATGACCAAAATATACTGTTGCTGCAAGTTCCGCATCTATCCTTCTTTGTACAAATCACAAGCACATAAATACAAATATCGTTGAACTGCGTGTGGTGTATTTGGTTCATGCATATTGAACAATTCATTGACCATTGGAAGTTTGAACGAATTGAGTCGTGATGATAATTTGTATCCGCTTTGCAATCATTTATATGGCAACATGCACAAGACTAGAGTTGGAAATAGATGCTAAAACATTGCGTAAAAAGAAATAGGGAAAAGTCTATGTACAAACATATAATTTGACTTAAAAATACATGCATGATTATATAGTCAGGTATATAATCCATCGCAATTATCGCTACTCTGGTAATTTAATCTATGAAAATTATTTAATTAATAAAATATTACATTCACGACACAAAGCGAGAATAGTTTGGAGTTTTTGGTGTGGCAGAATAATTTATAGCGTATCCATGAAACAATTATTTCCTCTTTAAGACAAGAGACCTAATATGTCTTGTCTTGACAATTAATAGTTCGGTCATGAGCTGGTGTCGTATGTGAACTAATATATAGATACATATGACTTTATTAAATCTCATTACAAACTATTACCGTAATATTCTGTATTATCGCCTGTTTTCACTATGTACTCACCCTATATACGCTGATACACAGTGAGTAGCTTTGTCAATCAGATTTTAGCGATGAGTTGATATATACAGTATATATCAGTTTTAATTGTCAATATTTTATGCGCGGCCATCCACATAAGTATGGTATATGTAACTGAATATTTACTATATATATAGTGTTGTGGCAAAAACTTACCAAAGTTGAAACGTTTATCCTCGGCGTTATTACAATTTGCTGTCAATCCAATGTAGGGATCAATTCCTTCTTTTTGAGCAAGCGGGGCGTGTGTTTTAGGGACTGCACACCAGTTCTTAAATGAGCTCTTGCCATAACCTCTATAATATACAGATAAACCTCCCCAAGAGGTCTGGGTTATACGACGTTAGATTTTCCTTCCAGGATCTTGCGCACAGGCAGAAACATCTAATTTTGTTGGATCGGGTGGAACGTAAAGATAAAACATATCAAGACCAAAGCCAGAACCATATTTAGCATAAGCCGCAAGACATCCTTGTCTTTTCAAATTCAACATGGCGCCATTATCACGAAACTGAAACTGAGCAGCTGGATCCAGACAGTTGTTGGAGAGTTCAAGAAAAGACAGGCTGCCCCAGTACGATCCTTGTAACTGTATTCGTGCTGTGTCATAGATACACTTTCCTGTCTTCGCATGTTTTACAAAGAAACCAGCAACACCTGAAAAATCATAGGACAAAATAGAAGAGAAGAGTAGCCTTCAGAGAGAGAGCAGTTTGAATTACTTGATGCGCAAACACTCATCACAAACCTTTACCTTTTACTCAACATTAACTAGGTGCACATGAGTTGCGTACTATACGTTTTAGTTTAGATTGCTTTACTTAATTTAGACACAATTAAATGCAATTTAAACACAGCGTATGACGGAATGGTTTGTGTAAGCAAATATAAGAGAGCGAAGATATATGCAAGGAGCCCAACCATAGCACGTCAATCTGCGTCAGGCTGGAATCATTAACATAATACATTAGCACTTGAAGTATTTGAGTCTTGTTTCAAAAACATACTGTAGTTGTTCACTAGTGAAGTAGATACGCTGCTTCCTTGTTGCATGATAACGTTTTTTCCTTCATCAAGTGATAACAAGGCTAATTATATCGATCAACATACATTAGTACTTCAAACTTACCCTGAAGACAAAGGAGAATGAAAATAAAAACTGCTAAATTCTGTTGAAGACGCTTGAAATACATCTTTTCAATCCAGCAGATCTAAAACGACTCTGTGAAATGCAAAGGCGGAAGATGAAACTGAATCATTGTAGCGAAGATAAATATTTAGAGAAACTCAGTGGGAAGTCGGAATGTTTACTGTTTAATAACGTACTAAATTTATATCTAACAATCTTGAACAATGAGATATGTTTCAAACAGGATTCTGACAAAATTCTTGATAGAACAGTCAGTGTTGAAATCTGTTTGAAAGGGAAATTACGTGCAGGTTTTTTCGATAGACTGTGTCAGTTGTGCTCTGAAATCGATCATGAATATAACAAATGTATTTCCCTACAGGCATGTCCTTTACAATGAATCCATCCAGTCGCGATCGCGTCTGATTTTTTTCCCAGACGAACGTGATTGGTGGTTCACCTTCAGCAAAACACAGCAGGTCTGACAAGATTACCTTCCTTTGCCATTCCGCCAACACTGTATGGATATGTTTGCTAACACACGAGGGACCCCAACTAGCATAGCTATCTGCAAAAAAATTACTCAAAATACGAGTAATTTCTATTAAAAGAATGAGTTGAATTGAGTTACTCAAACAAATTGCTTCGACGGAAACTCAACAATTACTCACCCACTGTGGACGACGGCCATTAATTCGTTATTGTGAGTAACACAACAATGAAATAGATAAGTTTGACTTTATAGAGAATATATATAAGGAATTAATTGTGCCCTTAGAAAAATTTCACAATGTGAAATTGCACGTGTGAATTCGAAACTTTGTGAATTCTCACATGTGAAGTAATTCTTCAAATATTTTCTCCAATATGTATTAAGCAATACACTGAGTTAGTAATTCCAACTCCGTAGTTCAGTAAATAGAATATTTTAATTTACTCATTGATGAGTAAAGAGTTGTCTTTACTCAAGAGATTTTGATAAAATACGAGTTTTGATCTACTCAAAAAAAAGAGTGAAATTATCCCAACGAGAAAAGGGGCAAAACGAACTCAATTTTTTGAGTAGTTAGTTCAGATTACATAAAATACGAGTAAAATTTACTCAAACATAAAAAATGCTCTTTTTTTCTTCTTGCAAAAAAACCCCTGAGTTTTCCCCAAAGCTTTTTTACTTTACCGGCAATATCTGTGTTTGTGGTAAGGGTCGGTCTTGGCGCTGGTGTTTCTGTCTTCGATAGAGGACTCCAATCAGTGGAGTAAAATTCACCCTTTAATGAAATATTTAGGACAGACAGTGGACAAAAAAAGGTTTACGTATGAACAGGATATGATATATCAAAAGTGCTTTGGAGGAGATTGTTAGTGAAAATACAAAAGGGTCACTTGGTGTTGTTGTCTTTCCTAATGTATCATCTACTACTCAGCAATACCTTGTCATCAAGAAAGATCCTTTGAAAAATACTGTAACTTGCTCCAGACTCCAGTGGTCCATTGTAATAATCAATTGTTGTTGATCTTCGTCTTCGTGTTGTTTGAAAACTTGTATTTCCACCATCACCAAGTATAAACATGTTTATACCCCTGCTTGTTATGACGGTTGCAATATAAGGTTTTGGTTTAGCTGACGTTTTAACTTCTTTGTACGTCACTAAATCATTGTAACTGCTGGATGGTCGAAGACTGTCGCTGCTTTTTCTCAATTTAAGAGCCACGACGTAAAAATACCTAAAACATATTCCGTTTGTTCAGTAAGAGATAAAGTCTGCAGTTGGTCATCGAAATAATTTCTTCCATGCAATTATCTGAAATATTGTTTTAGGAACGCCGGTTTTGAACTTACGTAAAATTTTCCGAAGGGATTTGTAACGAGAAAGTTAATGTAGTTTCTGTTCTCTTTGTTGCCATCTTTGTTCCTTCTGTATAATAGATAACATCAATGATATGAACTTAAATGTCGGTATTTAGGTTGTGATGTTAGCTTTCTCCTAAGGTGATGAGATCTAACAACGAAACTATGAAATATAGGCCCTATACCTCCATTTGTAAATATTCCCTGACTTTTACTGTAGTTTCCTCGACCAACTCTAGTACTTGCAAGAACACGAACAAAATATTTAGTTGAGGCATTCAAATTGTCGATGACCAACATCATCTTCTCTGTGGTATGTTCTTTAAAGCAAGGTTTAGTTTCTTCATGTGAGATGCACACAGTATAATTGACGATCACGCCATTTCTTTTCTCTTCTTCAGGAGGATCCCACGTGACTGATAATGAGGATGAACTTTCTGCAGTGACTTTCACGTTCAGTGGAGGACCTTCTGGAGCTGGAAATTTAATAGTAAGTTGTTTCTTTGGGTTCGTTTTAAAAAGTGTTTGTATATATGTAACAGATGAGGATATAATACGGCTGTGACAATACGCCACATCAAAAAGACATTGAATGTTGTTGTAAACTGGGTGATATGGTCACCATGCAGCCTCCTTTACACATGAAACAAATGTTGCGCGGGCACCGCGTTAAGGAATTATCCATTCACTTCTTACCCTCCTCTCCTGTCGAAAACACAATAGTATTCTCTTCACTAAAACCATCCTTGTTTCCAGCAGCTACAGATATTTCATAGCTTGTGTATGGAGTGAGCTTGTCTATTTTATATTCATTTATTTTTCCTGTGGTCATATTCAGGATAAGCGAGCCGTCTTTCTTTATTTTAATCCAAAATCTTGATACGCTGGTAAATCCTTGATTCTCAGGATCAATCCACGATATTTCAACACTTCGTGACTTGATGTTAAAGACGGTGAGGTTTCTAGGTTGGTCTGGGTATAAATCTGGCGTAAAAGAAAGCAAACATTGAAAAATATTTATCAATAATAATCGTAGCATCCACTTCCCAGTTTTGGCAAGGCGCTCGATTAATCGCGAAGTTTGTCGGTAATGACACATGAGCGTCGGCAAACCCACTGCAGTAAGCCGCTCTGTTGGCAAATCTTATGTGAACTGACCGAATGCCCTATGCTTTCTCTGGATAACTTCAAGTACCGCGTGTTCGTCGGTTGAACGTCGGAATTACAACCCTCAACCCCCAGTATAGATCCCAAGATAGTCACGTTAGCCACATAACCTCTGCCAATAACCTTCTAATTAAAATCTTTCCGGGCTTCGATACAAATAAACGTAACTTACTGTCACCACAGATCTCAACTCTCATACAAGGTTGAACTTCATGCGATAATGGAATAAAACGTAAAGCTCTTGTTGTTATGTCATTTAAACTTCTTTTTGCTGCATCATTGAAAGCATTTTTGTTTCCCTGAAAGATCTTCGAAAGTATTATACACTTAATGTATGATCCCAAAGGAAATAGTGAGTTTTTGGAAAACAAGGGTGTCACGTATCAATTACCTTGTGATTTTCAGTCTGAACTTGTTTCCAATTCGTTGAATCAACAGTGTAATTTAAGTTGTAAGTCTTCACCCATTTGGCACTGGTACTGTCACCAAACGTTGTCACATTATATAACACATAAAGTTTTCCTAAGTTTACTTGAAGATAATGTTTGCCATCTGAGACAGAAGCACACCAAGAACTACCACTAGATATCCTTGCATCAGAAGCTCTGTGACCCTCTGAAGAAACTGAGGCAGTGAATGACGAATCTGGAAATCTTTCTTTGTCTTCTAACAGAGGGTTGTCGCAAATATGACCTGAAATACGAAGATCATTTGTGATTGTCTTTCATTTTCTCGCTTCAAAGCTTACATTTTATGAATAACAACTTAAGGTGGGAGTTGTGATCGAACATTGAGGTAAATCCCCGAGGACATTAGTACAGTTTATACTTCCAGAGAATATTTCATCTTTGGTAGTTGATAGGAGGGGTGTATTAACAACAGAGTCTAATGCAAACAACATGCTTGTTTCGTTATTCAAACTTCCAGCACAAACACGCTCCGCTTTGTCTCCCCTTGGTCAATTGCTAAAATTTATGGTCGTATTTCTCTAGAAATTTTACCACGGGTCACTCAGACCTTCTACACCTTTAGTATTTTGGTATCGTCACTACCTTGAAGTAAATGGGAAAACATGATCAAATATTTTGTGGCCTTGATTTCGTATGAAATTTTGCTGCGCCTAAACATATTTATAGTCGGTACACATGTACATACCGCAAACATCGTTATAATTTTTCACATCATTAAAACATCGATATTCAAAGTAAAGATATTTTTTCAATCCAGGACACAGATCATCAGAGAACAAGGTTTTATCCACAGTTATTTTACACTCATGTTGACCATCACATTGTTTCTTAACAAGACATGTTACATCAACTGTACAACTATAATCATCACTCAAACCACATGTCTTTGAGTCAGACAATCCACGGTAAGATGCAGTCTTAACCACCATTAACTGATCTTTAGGACAGGCGACATTCTCTGTCGTATTTCCATAACATGTCACTGAACCTTGATAAGGATAACACGAAATATAGAGCTCGATCGATACTTAAAAAGATGAAGTGAGTTTGTCTACTTGGCTTGAGAATATATAATTAGGTTCTGAGCACTTCTTCTCTTTACTGTTGAAATACATTTCTCAGACAACCCTGGTAAACAGAAACTGAAACTTACCAAAAATAAAACGTTTATTCTCTCCGTCTACACAGCTTGCGGTCGTTTTTATGTATCCATCAGGGTCTGCACACCTGGCTGCAGAATTATAAAGTCCATGTAAACCTCCCCAAGAGGTTTGTTTTATAACCCGGTGGTCAGCACAGGAAGCTATTTCTATAGCTCCTGGGGTATTAGGAACGTAGACGTAAAACATTTCATCAATCCTGAGCTTTTTATATATAGCAAGACATCCTTGTCTTTTCAAATTAAACATGGCGCCATTATCACGAAACCGAAACTGAGCAGCTGGATCCAGACAGTTGTTGGAGAGTTCAAGAAAAGACAGGCTGCCCCAGGTTGAGCCTTCTGACTGTATTCGTGCTGTGTCATAGATAAACTTTCCTGTTTTCACATGTTTCACAAAGAAACCAGCAACACCTGAAGAATTTAAGATTCACGAGACTGATTGATTTTCTTGCGATGTTATTACCAAATATTAGAGAGTTTAAAAATCAAGTTTTACGTCAACTGGCAAACAGGAGGCAAATGTAATAAAAAAGCAAATGGACTCGGCACGGACTCGGTAATTTAAACGACGGGGATTTTTATAGTTAAATAGTAGGATTCATAGGGGCATATTTTTATAACCTAACTCAGTTGTATCCAGCGGTAAAAAATGTTAATTCATCACATAAAAAAGTTATTACAATGTGTTTATTCATTGCCATCGTTTGATGTAGTTTTAAAACGAGAATGGGAGTTGATGAAAGTTAATGCAAGTTACAAGACATGTTTACCTTCGCCGTCAACAACGTCCGTAATTGTCAGTAATCGTCAGTACTCTTTAACTTAGGACTTTCGCAATTTTGGTAGTGAGCGACCCAACGCAAGCGAGACTTGCAACTCACATCAACTCGCATTAATCATGACAGTGAACAAATCATTGTGAATTATAGACGTAGAATTTCAATTTTGAATGCATGGTGTAATATTTTAATTGCTAGGCTACTTACTATGAAGATACAAGAGACTGACAATAAACCCTGATAATTTCCACTCGTAGCACTTGGAAAACATCTTTTTAAAAAGTCGATTCATCGACAAGTATCTGCAGTAAAGATGTAAGTTTAAACGAAGGCGGAAGAAGAACTAAATCGTTGATGTTGCGAAGATAAATATTCATAAAACTCAGTGTGAAGTCTGAATGTTGCTTTCATGATCCCAAACAAACAAAACGTCTGACATTCTTTTAGCGAATTGTGTTTTGTTCTTGTTAAATTACTGTAAATAATAGCATCAGTCATAAATCTATCATCTTTCTCAAAAGCTATGTAAATGACATGGTCATCGACACCAAATTTGTTGTCGATGAATTGATTTTTAAAATTAGATAAGCAACAGTTACTTATGGTCTGTGGCCCGAGTTATTTATTGGTCTTCAAGTATGCTTGGTTTAGCACTGTCTATATTCTTTATTTTCTATGATATTTTTCCCATTTCATGCTAATATGTCGTGGTCTTAAGGTAATATAGGTCTATAACGACTTTCATCAATTTATATTTATTCAAACCTTGGAATCTCGTGTTGTTTTGTGTATTAAATGCTCACTGATCATATGTATTTAATATTCATAATTGCCTGATACATGCATGTCAACATTATTCTCTATTGGCACTTTCTATCAACCAATGGTGATAAAACGATAAGGTCGAAATATGAGCTCAAACCAACAGGTGGTCTTAACCAGATTATAGATAACACCTGGACGTTTTTATTTCATTATGGAAATGTTAATCTTAAGTTTATTGTAAATGTTCCGTGCAAAAGCCTCTTTATAATCCAGTTTCCTTCTGGTTTTCGTATTCTTGAGATCTTTTATTCAGATGACTATAAACATGATCATTTTCGTCCTTTCCAGGTCTTTTAAGAGCTGTATACGTCGACTGTTCATTCTCCACTTGTTCATAATTGTCAACGTCATTTTTGTTAGGATTTTCATAAATATCTTTGGAACTGTCTTTGGTCTTCCTCTCCAAATTTCCCGTAGTGCTTGACGATTTGAGACGATGAACTCGGTGAAACAAATAAACGATAATAATGAGTGAAATGACCAGAAGAATTATTAATACTATAATTCCCACGAGATGATTTCCGCGATCTTCGCACTCTTCTTGAGCTAATGAAAGGAAGAGGGAAAATCAGAAAGATGCAACCCAGAATACAACAGATTTTTACACTCTCTTTAGGAATCATTTCAAGACCCTGAAATCCTCTGTCGTAGAACTGCATGTAACCGATGCAAAAAGCTCTGGAAACTACACAAGTTATTTTCTCTCCCTAATTTAGTTTGTAAATTACCTGTAAGTTTCACAACTGAAATTGTATGAGCAGTTTTTGTAAATCGATCTTGAATATTACAAATATATTTTCCAAAACTTGTTTCGTCTTTTATTGTTACAACCAGAACAGAACTGCGATAAGGGGTATTCTTTTCTATAAAACTCTCCAGAGCCTTTCCATCTTTTTCCCAACTTAAAGTAATTGGTGCTTCACCTTGAGTAGAACACAACAGGTTGACAAGATCACCTTCCTTTGCCATTACGTCACCACTGGACATGTTGGTTAACACACGAGGGACACCACCTGAGGAACAGAAACACAGCTATACATTCCAAATTAAGTATTGACCTGAGCAGGTTGGCGGCATCTAGAATTAGATCTATAATAAACGTAAATTTACCATGTTTTTTCCCGCTCAATAATTTTATCTTCCGTTATAATTTATATGCAATACCTGAGTTTATGCTAAGGGTTGTCGATGCAGGACTCCAATCAGTGGAGTAAAATTCGCCCTTAAATGAAATATTTAGGAAAGACAGATATAGAGTGGACGAAAAATCATTATATAGGATATTAGGATATTAGATATAAGGGTATGAGGATATAAGATATTGAGATATGTTAGTGAAAATGCAGAAGGATCACTTAGTGTTATTGAATATATTTGTCTATCCTAATGTATCATCATTATTAGCAATACCTTGTCATCAAGAAAGATCCTTTGAAAAATACTGTAACTAGCTCCAGACTCCAGTGGTCCATTATAATAATCATTTGTTGTTGACCTTCGTCTTCGTGTTGTTTGAGAACTTGTATTTCCACCATCACCAAGTATAAACATGTTTTTATCTCTGGTTGTTATGACGGCGGCAATATAAGGTTTTGGTTCAGCTGACGTTTTAGCTTCTTTGTATGTCACCAAATCATTGTAACTGCTGGATGATGGAAGATTGTCATTGTTTTTTCGTTTCAAAGCCACGACGTAAAAATATCTAAAACATATTTTGTTTGCCAGTAAGAGATAAAGTCTGCAGTTGGTCATCCAAATAATTTCTTCCATGCAATTATCTGAAATATTGCTTTAGGAACGCCGGTTTTGAACTTACGTAAAATTTTCTGAAGGAATTTGTAACGAGAAAGTTAATGTAGTTTCTGTTTTCTTTGTGGCCATCTTTGTTCCTTCTGTAAAATAAATAACATCAATGATATGAACCTGAATGTCGGTATTTAGTTCGTGATGTTAGCTCTCTCTTAAGGTGATGAGATCTGACAACGAATCTGTGAAATATAGGCCCTATACCTCCATTTGTAAATATTCCCTGATTTTTACTGTAGTTTCCTCGACCAACTTTAGTACTTGCAAGAACACGAACAAAATATTTGGTTGATGCGTTCAAATTGTCGATGACTAACATCATCTTCTCTGTAGTATGTTCTTTAAAGCAAGGTTTAGTTTCTTCATGTGAGATACACACAGTATAATTGACGATCACGCCATTTCTTTTCTCTTCTTCAGGAGGATCCCACGTGACTGATAATGAGGATGAACTTTCTGCAGTGACTTTGAGGTTCAGTGGAGGACCTTCTGGAGCTGGAAATTTAATTGTAAGTTGTTTCTTTGGGTTCATTTTAGAAAGTGTTTGTATTATATGATTACTTAACTCAATTACCCATGAAGCCGATGCTTCGAAACCGCGTTAAGAAATTATCCATGATTCTTACCATCGTCTTGTGTTGAAAATATAAT